CTCAACCAAATCACTCAATTTTTTTTTTTTAGAATGAAGCTAGAACTGTCAGCTGTCAAATGACATAGCAATAACATAGATGCAAATGACTCTAGTACTTCCAAAAATGAACTGGTGCCATCTGTTGCAAACATGAGTCATGACTTTTCCGACAGCTCAATACTATATTTTCAGCACCTAGCATAGTACCTATTGATATGGAAGGTATTAATATTGAATAAATAAATGATTTATTGAATGAATATATAAATAAATTATTAGCATATAGTCATCGAGGTAAATAGTGTCATTGGATAATATAATACCCTGAAATTTTTGAGCCAAACTTTATTTTATTGATGAAGACCTTAAGACCCAGAGGGCTTAGACCTGACAAAGAATAGCAGATCTCCCCTTATCTTCATAATGGCAACTGTTCATCTAGTTAGTCCTGTACCTACCACATCTAGCAGGCAAGCTGGCACCTAGTAGGCCCTCACTAAATATTTGCTAGATGAATGAAAGAACAAGTGAATGAATGGTAACAGTTTGTAATGGTAGAGGCATTTAGAGAGTGCTTTCTGTGTATCAGGGATTTTTATAGGTGCTTTACATGTATTAACTCTTTTAATAACAAATGAATTAATAAACTCAAATTGAAACTCAAGACCAACGACAGTTTAATACTTTCCCCATGAAACCAACTTATCTTTCCAAAAGTCATCATTGCTTAGAAGACCTCATTCCAACAATGGGTGGGACTTGGCTCATTTACTCGTTTTGATTCTACCCACTTCGAATTAATTAACATTTTGCTTCCTAATGTCTATCTCTATCTCTCTCTATTGTTTTTGCCATGTTATATTAATTGGACAGAAGAACTAGGTAGAAAAGACCAACCGGGCTTCAAGGAATCATCACCATCATCATCTTCGTCACAATAGCTAGTATTTATTGAGACTTTATGATGCACCAGGAATTAAGCTCCATACTGTACATTTATTATTGACTTAATTATTACAACTTTAATAGGTAGGTATTATTATGCTTATTTACAGAGTAGAAAATTCAGTTGAAGTAACTTGCTTATGATTACACAATTCATAAATTGCCAACCAAGGATTCAAACTCAGGAGACATATAACCCCCAAAACCACATTTTTTTTTCAGGCTCGTAAAAGTGACTTAAGACAAAGACAGCATGAGTGCTTCTAAAGTGACTTCTGGGCCCGCCAAGTGGCACGTTGGTTAAGAACTGGCTTGGGACACCAGAGGGCCCCAGTTCGGATACCACATATGAGGGCCAGTGACACTGCCCTCTACAGCTAAGATGCTGAAGAACAGCTCAACCTGGAGCTAGGCTGCTGTGAGTCGCTGACGACAGTGTAGGCTGCAGTCCGTGCTGCAGCGGGTTGCTATGGGCTACCATGTGTAGCCACCAGCCAGTGTGAACAGCTGTCCAGAAGCCGGCGACTGATCTGCTTCACCTGGGAAGAGCGCAGTGATGGTGCCAACTTGGGCCAGTGAAGCAACGTCCTCCACAACTAGACTGAAGAACAAAAAGGACAGCAACTTGTCTGTTCCCCTTCCCCCAATTCCCCAGCGCTGTTCCCATCCCCCAATTTCCCAATTTAAAATAATAATAATAAAGTGACTTCTGATGTTAAAGGGTTCTTGTATTACCAGTACAGTATTCATTGATTCGGCCTGGAGAGAACCACATTGTATTTATGTTGTCTATTGTTTATGGTTGTCTCCCCAGCACTATGAGCTCCTCATTAAATACTTGCTGAATGAACATCTAGTGACTATAAGTGGCCCTGAGTTGCAGAATGGGGGTCAAAAATCTCTGAGTGAATTACATCTTTAAGCCGAGAATGGATATATGTTTTTAAATACTCATTTAAAAGAAACCTAAAACTCAACTAACTCTCTATGATAATTTCATGTTTTGTTGAACAGTTTCCTTCTGCTAAGTCATCTGTTAACACCTCACCAACAAATTAGAGCCTTCTTATGAAGGACTGTTGGGAATAGTTGCATCTGCACATTCCTAAAAGGTTCCCAGGTAGACAGTTCTCCTTGGTGTCAGCATAATTACATTTTTCCAATCTCTTGAGCTAGGTGCAGTTGTTGTTTAACAAGGCACTGCACATTGAAGATGCATTTAGCCATTACAGCATTTAAAAATTTATTGTAATTGCTAATTTGCTTGTCTGTATCTCCCTCTAGACTATAAATTCTGTGAGGTCGGGGACATGTGTCCACCTAATTCATCTTTGTATCCTCATTAGTAAGAGATCAATAAAATATGCTCTGAATTAATGAAAGTCCCAGAACCTTGGAGAGTGGTTATGAAGACCTCCACAGCAATCCCACTTACCTGTGAGATCCAGAGTTCTGTCCACAAAGACCACTGATGCCCTGCCTGCAGCAGTCTTCCTCCTGTTCTTGGCAGGGGCATAATTGGCCAGATCTGCAGCGATGACCCGACTGAGGTAACCTACAGCAAAACACTCCTCTCGGACCCCTAAGTGCTCACACAAAGAACTGATGCCTGATACCAGGCACCTGATCTGCAGGAGTAGTTCAGGGGTCAGGGTAGTGGCATCCACGTCACCCAGGCTTCCCAGCCTCCTTTTGTCTGGTCGGGCACTGTTAAGGAGATGCACATCCTGGGGTAGCAGTGGGAAAAGGGAAGCAAAGGCTGGAGTCAAGGCAAGGTAGGGAGAGGCAGGGGCGAGCAACAATGGGACGTGAAGCACCTCGGCGGTGTAGTTCATGTTGCCCATCCATTCACACAGCTTCTCTTCTAGTTGCTCGAACACCGGCTGCTGTCCCTCCAGCTCCGCCGCTGCCGCCGCTGGTACGTGATTAGCCGTGAGGTGGACAGCGTGGTTCACAGCTGTGACCACCACACAATACTGGAAGTGACTGCGGCAGATGATGTTCCGTAGAGTCTCCACGGTTCGGCCTTTCAGTAGGCAGCTCAGCACAAACACCGCCTTGGGCTGCTTAGCACCGCCACCGACTGCTGCGGGCTCGAACTCCCGCAAGTAACACGCAGGTCCCCCCACCGCCTCCAGGAGCCGGGTGGATCCGCAGCCCCAGTGCAGGCTTTCGGCACAGGCGGCGTCCAGGTAGACCACAGCCCGTTTCACTTTGGCCAGCACCTGCTCCCAGCCCTGCTGGGTAAAGGACTGCACGCCCGGGGCGCTCATAATTGGGAATTCGCAGACTTGGGCACACCACTACAGAAACTTTTCTCAAAACTCTCAGCTTCCGGGAGTTGGGCTCCGAGAGTTTAACAATCAACACAATTTACGCGGTGCCGCCTCCTACTAGTCCAGTGGCTGCGCACGGTGATGACGTCAACGGATCGTGATTGGCTTGCGGGATGACAGCTCCAGGAAGAAAGCTGAAGGTTAGGAAAGAAAAGTGAGCGGGGCTTCGTGGCTCTTGGGGTCCTAGAAAGTTCAGAGATGAGAAGGAGCTGCCCAGGAAATAGCTCAACTGTCCTTTTCCTCTACCTGTCTGCTTAGATTACCTTTTCCTGCCCCTGAGAAGCCAAACTTTGATATCTTCCCTGGATATGAACACATCTCTTTAAAAGTACAGCCACTTTCCCCATTTTAACTCTAAGCAGCCAAAGATAAAACAACCAACTGTAATGTTACAGTTTATAGACTGTTGTCACATACGTTGTTGTACACAGGCCTCATAACAAACCTACTAGTCTCATTTTCACTTTCTTCATCTTCCCTCCCTCATCTCATTGCCAGTAAATCTTGGATGGCTTCAAAAATCTTGGAATCCAGCCCCTTCGCCTCACCCTTACTGTGAATGCCTTAATCCACCATCTTCACAAACCTCAACAATTGCAGTGATCTTCCATTATTTCCCAGCTTTCTGTCTCTTCTCCCTCCAATTCAGTTTAAACTAATCTGGTCCTATCATTTGGCTGCTTAAAAGCCTCACCTGGCCCAATTGCCTACAGGATACAGCCAGACTCCTTAAAATGGCACCAAAATCCTTCATGATTTTCTCAGTTTCTTTCCAGCTCCTCCCAGCCTGGAGAATTATATACCTGCACAATGAAGTCAACAGATTGAGCCCAGAATGTTTCATGGGTTCAATTCATTGAACTAGTATTTATTAAGCACTTACTAAGTATAATCACTGTGGTAGGCTCCAAAGATACATGGTTAATAAAATACATTCACTGGTCCACAAGAACTTACACCTGGAAAACTAACAAAAATCATTTTAATGATACTTTCCATGTGAGAATTTTCCTAAGTCACCATCACTACCGTCACCCTGTCCTCCCTTCAGCCCTCCAACACACAGCACAATACCTCCGGTAAGTACTTGCCATATAATGGGGTAAGTTTTAACATACCTGTTTTCCTTAACATATCTGTTTTGCTAGATCATGTACTAGAGGCTTGGTATCCCCAATGGTGGACATAACAGATGTTCAATAAATGTTTGTTGAATAGATGTTCAATTCATATCCATATAATAAATATTATAGTCAACCAACTTTTAATGAACTTGTACAATATGCGTTGGGCATTGAGGATATAAAGAGAAGTAAGTCACAGTCTTGCCTTCAAAAGAATCTAAATGAAAAGGACTCACACATGCAAAGCAAGCAAGTGCAATAAAGCACTACAGAAGTGATGACCAATTGTTTTTTTTATTAAACAATTTCCCCAATGTCATACATGTAGCAAATGGCAGGCCAAGCATATGAACCCAAGTTGTCTCTCTCCAGCATCTCTTTTTTTTTTCTTTTAAGATTTTATTGGGGAGTCAGGGGAGGGAACAGTGTTGGGGAATCAGGGAGGGGGAACAGACAAGTTACTGTCCTTTTGTTCTTCAGTCTAGTTATGGAGGACGTTGCTTCACTGGCCCATGTTGGTATTGTGATCATTGCGCTCTTCCTGGCTGAGGCAAATCAGTTGCTGGACATTGGACGGCTGCTCACAGCAGCTCACGCTGGCTGCCAACCACTTATGGTAGCTTACGCCAGCCCATTGCAAATCCCTGCAGCCTATGCCGTCGCCGGCAACTCATGACAGCCCAGCTCCAGGTTGAGCTGTTGTTCACCATCTTAGCTGTAGAGGGTGCAGCATCACTGGACCATGTGGGATCTGAACAGGCAGCTCTGCTGCTCAGAGCTTGCGCTCCCAAGCCAATTCTTTTTTTTTTTCAAGATTTTATTGGAAAATTGGGGGGAGGGGAACAGTGCTGGGGAATTGGGGGAAGGGGAACAGACAAGTTGCTGTCCTTCTGTTCTTCAGTCTAGTTGTGGAGGACGTTGCTTCACTGGCCCAAGCTGGCACCATCATTGCTCTCTTCCCGGGCGAGGCAGATCAGTCGCCGGCTTCTGGATGGCCGCTCACGCGGCTGCTGGCCACTGACGCTGGCTGCCGGCTACACACGGTAACTTATGGCAGCCCACTGCAGCAGGGGCTGTAGCCTACACCGTCGCCGGCGACCCACAGCAGTCCAGCTCCAGGTTGAGCTGTTATTCAGCATCTTAGCTGTAGAGGGCAGTGTCACTGGCCCTCATATGTGGGATCCAAACTGGGGCCCTCTGGCATCCCAAGCCAATACTTAACCAACATGCCACTCGCCCGGCCCCCAAGCCAATTCTTAACCAGTGAACCACTCATTCGGCCCAGAGATGACCTTTTCAATGTATAAGGATTACAAATGAGAGAAAATAAATTCAGACTGGTTGAAGTAAAAAAGGGAAGTGGTCAGGAGTTTCATTTAGGACATGAGTTTTTAGTTGCCTTTAAAGAAAACCAGGTGTTCACCAGGTGGACAGAATGGGGAGGAGTGTTCCTGGCAGCTCAGGCAGAAAGTGCAGCATAAACAAAGCCACAGAGTCATGAAACTATACAATGTGTGTTTTGGAACTAGAAACAGCTTGATATAGCTGGAAAGTATTGTATAAAGAAACCTAAGAAGAAATAGGAGCTAGGAACTAGAAAAGAAGGGACTAGATCAGGGCTAGTCTTATTTCCTATTCTAAATAGTAGCAGCCAAGGCGGAACTATTATTTTTAGGAGTGAAAATAATTTGTTCACATCTAGAGTTTAGGGGGGAAAAGATTCTATTAAGGACATGGACAATAATTTGAATGCAGTACGATTTTGAGCAGGGAGAACAGTTAAGAAACAGTAGCTACAAACACTTGGGCCCGAGTACATAAGGATACTAGTAAAGGCAATAGACAGTGAGGGGTGTCTAAATAAATGTTAAGGAGATAGAGCCAAAAAGTCTGGTTACTAGATTGAAAGAGAGAGTGAGGGAAAATTGATTAATGCCCACTTTTCTGCCTCGGTGACTGGTAAGTGGTAGTCACTGAGATTTGGAAAATCAAAAGAGGAACACATTGGGGAATAAATGTACTGAGTTCAGTTGAGCCATGTTTTTGTTTATTTGTCTGTTTTTTTTAATTGTGACAAAATACACGTAACGTAAAATTTACCATCTTAACTATTTTTAAGTGTACAATTCAGCAGTGTTAAAAATATTTTCACATTGTTGTGCCACCAATCTCCAGAACTTTTTCATCTTGTGAAACTGAAACTCTATAGTATGTACATTAAACAACTCCCCATTTCTCCCTCCCTCTGCCCCTGGCAACCATCATTCTACTTTCTATTTTTATGAATTGATTAGATACCGCACGTAAATGGAATCATACAATATTTGTCTTTCTGTGACTGGCTTATTTCACTTAGCATAATATCCTCAAGGTTCATCCATGTTATAATACTGTATTTCCCCATGTATATGACCCACCCTTTTTCAAAAAATTTGGGGTCTAAAAACTGGGTGTGTCTTATACAGTGGTTGTATGAGTGCAAAAACAAGAGCGAAAAAAGTGGGACATGCAAGTAAAAAAAATCTACGACTACTGTATAAGATGCACCCAGTTTTTAGACCCCAAATTTTTCGGAAAAGGGTGCGTCTTATACATGGGGGAATACGGTATGTGTCAGAATTTCCTTCCTTCCATTTCTTGCTCTCAGATGTTATGGCATAGTCAAATTAATTCCTGCTAAAATTATATGCTTAAGACAATCAGATTTACTTCATTTAAATATGATTTGTACTTCTCTGCTCAAAATAGCCAGCAATTATTTGCCATTTCTCATAAAATCAAGCATATCTCCCTACACCTCATTTCTAAGTCCTCCATATGCATGATCAACAGTAGGATTTACTAAGCACTTTCCATGTGCTTGACATTATAAGACAGGATCTGGTGACTACAGGAAAAAAAAATGTTCTCATCATTAAGGAGTGTGCAGTTTACATAACAGTGTAGGTATAATAGGCGATGATACAATTTTTCAGAAACAACAAGCAATATAAAATTTAGTGTTAAAATATGTCAAAATATATAGGAAGATGGAAAATTGAGGCTTAATTCCCGATGGAAGTATCTAGAGAGGAAGGAAACCTCTATACATGTGCAGCTATTCAGGTTGTTCAAAGGACAAAAGGCCTGAAGTAAACCATAACCTGCTACCTGCTTGCCTCTAACTTGTCCAATGCTTTGACATTTGAAACCTAATTTTAGTTTTGTTATCCTCCCAAGGAGTGGGTGTAAAATGTCATTTTAATATATCAATTTACTGATGAGGAAACTGAAGAATATTGAGATTTAAGCAACCTATTTAAAGTTTGCAGCAAATAGCATAGTTGGACCTAAATGACATATTCATTCAAAACACATTTATGAGTGTTTACTATCTACTAGGTACTGAGCAAAGCACTGTTATTTAACTCTTGTCATCATTTTAATCATCTGCTAAACATTCCCTTTTAGTATTTCTCAGAGATACAGCAAAACTGTTGCTATGTTGTTACCAACTGTTGCTTTGTGAACCATCAGATCACAGAAAAACAAAGGGAAACAAATATAATCGAAATATATGGAGTATTGTAGTATGATAAGGTCATAATTTTATACAATATCAAGCTACCTGTCTTTGACATCTCCCCTGGTGAGTAGGGAGATAAAAATACCTTTAACTAAGGAAGTTTATCCAGGCAAGCAATTCAATTTGGAAGCAAGAAAGGAAAAGGAAGAGACCTTTTGAGGCTGGTTATTAGTGATTTATGGGCTTTTATGCTTGTGGAAATCCTCCTTTTCAAAGCTTAATTCAAATACTACCTCCACCACGAAGGCAATTCTGATGCATCAATTATTATTCAGTTGTGTTTAAGTAATGCCTTGAAATACAAGCTCATTTCAGGCAGTTGAAAGGAGAAAGAGGCTTCTCAGCAAATGACGAGTGGTTCTCCC